AAAATGGCACACTACATGAAGATGTCTTCCCTCAGTTCGGGAAGCTTTGCTGCACTATCTGTTATTTTGAGAAATCTGATGCTTTGATTTTTAAAAACAATTCCTCCCTTATTCTCTCACTAATCTTTTCTCTTAGAACACCCCTTTTTCCATGGCATTGGAGTTGCAGGAATTAGGCTCTCATTTTTTCCTTTTTCTTTTCTATTTATCTAGTCCGCTCAACTCTGTATTCATTGGCTTTTAAAAATCAAATCCTGCATTTCTGTTTTTCTGCTCCTTAAACTTTAAGTTTTTTATTGTTCTCATTTTATGGCCACTCCTTTTTTTTTATAACCTCTCATTCTTATGTTATGCATAAAATAATGTCTCCCGCCGTTCTTCAGATAGCAATTATGGTGTTCTTAGTTTTAAACATTGCTTTGATTTCCCACACGGTTGCTTTTTAACATTGTCAGCTTTGATCTCTGGCTTATGTGCTTTCTTTATTTTATGGCGCCTTTTAATTGTTTACATTTTAGTGTGGGGTGTGCTTGTGTGTGTTTGTATGTCTGCATTGTCTGTTTGTACACCTACTCTAGGTTGGCCTAGATTATCCATTTGAGAGCCCTCCACTTTCCACACTTCTGGATTCTTTGGTCAAATTGGACAGATTTCTAGAGAGATGTCCCATCAGCCTCCTTCCTTGTGAGGAGGGGAGAAATCGGCATCAGGTTTTCTTACTGTAGAGAGGTGGAGTACAATTTTCCCAGCTTACCATGCAACTCCAATCATTATCATGTTCATAGCCAGTTTGTGATTGCCCCACAGAGATCTCTTTGTATGTGCTTGTGTGTGTGTGTGTGTGTGTGTGTGTGTGTGCGCGTGCGTGCGTGCGTGTGTGTGTGTGTGTGTGTGTGTGCATGTGTGCATGTGCTCATGTATGTAAGCATGTGTGCATGTGGAGGCCAGAGGTTGGTTTTGGATGTCTACCTCAATCACTCTCTACCTTATTTTTTGATACTGAGCTTCACATAGAACTCACTGATTCAGGTAGACTGTCTGGCCAGCAAGCCCTGGGCATCCTCTTTCCAGCTTCCCAACGCTGGGATTTCAGGCATGTACCACTGCATCCCACTTAAGAAAAGATTTGTTTTTACTCGTGTGTGTGTGTGTGTGGGCATCCACAAAGTCCAGAAGAGAATGCTGGAACTCAAATTATAGGTGGTTTTGAGACAGCCAATGTGAGTGCTGAGAACTGAATGGGGGTTCTGTGTAAGAGCGGTAAGTGCTCTTAACTGCTGGGCCATTCTCCTAGCTCCAGCATCTAGCTTTTCAAATGTGAGTTCTAAGGGGTTGAACTCAGGTCCTCACGCTTGCATGGCAAGTGTTTTACCAATGGAGCCATCTCTCCAGACCAGAGATCCCCTCTTTACCATTCTGTATGTCCCTTTGGGCATCAGATGGTTGGGTCCTAATGGTGGTCACCTGCAGCTTTTCCTTGGGGAACTTCAAAGCATAATTCTGCCGATGTGTGCGGAGATGCAGTGCCCGGGCCTTTGCCTTCGCTGGCCCAGGGCAGTCTCTGACAGATGACCATCCAGAGAAGAGCATAAAGGCCCTGCAGCCTTGCCCCAAATGGGTCTGAAGCTTTACTTGACTTTAGGGGTTTGGGTTTCTTCCACTGGTTTTTTCTCTTCTTCCTGCTCCTGTTTTCCATACCCGCCACTTTCTCTCACCCGAAACCTTGGCATGTCTGTCTGCATCCAGGGGACTTTTCCTGGAGCTCAGTCATCATTTAGAAATGATACCTATGCCCAAAGCCACTCTTTGGAGTGTCTGACTCCAGGTGTCTGAAAGCTACCCTTAGGACATATGGCTCAGAGTCTCTAGGTGGAGTTGCTCAGAGGCAGTGCACAGTTCATCGGAGAACTTCTTAGGTCGGTCGTCAGTTTACCATCAATCCCTAAAGCAATGCATGCTTGCTGATGTGTTCAGAGACACAAGGAATTCGTGAGGAGACAGATCTGTGGCTTTGTAGCCTTTGTGGTTTGCTACAGGATCTCTTAATAAAGTCATCACGAAGCCCTGGGAGGGAAAGCTAGTCAGGGAAGACCGTTCCGGGGCTGTGTGATACCATTCCTGGGGCACATGGTACTCTTTTGCCGCTGGGAATCTAATGAGAGCTTCTAAGATTCTTAGCAAGGCGCCTGTGTGTTAATTCCCCAGCTGCAATTACAGACTGATTAAGAGAGGCCATAAATAATTACAGCACAGGAGCACATCCACAGTCTCTGCTTTGTGTGCGTGCCTTCCCCGGCTCAGCCTCTCTCTCATTACCCAGAGGGTAAGTGAGAATTAAACATTCACACCATGGTGGCGTCGTGTGCCACAGCCCATTGTTCCCGGGATCTGTTTGTCATCTCTGTGGTGTCAGTGTACACACAGGGGACAAAGTTTGCCGATTCAGCCCCGTGACTATTAGCAGCCATCTACCCCAACAATGGACCATTGTTTTCAACCATGAAGACACTGGCTGGCCTCAGAGGTAGACTGCCTGGTGGCTTAAAAAAATTCTTTTCATGTACTCATAATGAATAAAGTCTTGCCTGTCAGTGAAGACTGAGATATGAAAGGAAGGGTCAGGGGTAGGTGAAGGATGGTCTCTGTCACCCATGTTGATGCCCATGGTTGTAGGGACATTTAAGCAGAAGGAATTCTGGCCATCGTGAATGTGTACAGGCAAGCTTACTGGCCCTGGGTATAGAGCAGGAAGCAGGCTTGAGGCAGTGTTAGAAGGCGGGGCTCCAGGCACACCATAGGAGGCCGACCAAGATTTGCAACCTTTGTATTTCGACACAGGACCTCCTTAATAAAATCTACTCGTGGCCTCTTCTTCCTCCAGTTCATCCTTCTGGGAAGGGGCCTTACAGACCCACCTCGAAGCAAGTCTCTCAGTTGATCCCAATCCTGGCAAGGTCAAGTTGACAAAATCAACCATCACAACGCCCATCCTCTCTCTCTTCTCTCCCTCGTTTCCTGGTCCTCTGCTCCTCCTCTATTTCCTAAGGTTATTCCAGGACCTTATTACATCCTCAATTCCTTGTATAATCAGGAGTTATCTCCCCACTTGCAGCTTCCTTGGCTTCTCCAAAGTCCCTGAGGCTGGAGGTGCAGACCTACAGTCCTAGCTGCTCAGGAGACTAATGCTGGGGGATGGTGAGCCAAGGTCTGCCTGGGCTACAGAATGAGTTCAAGGCCAGACTTAGTAACTTGGCAAAACCCTGTCTCAAAAACCAGTTAAGGTCTGGAGAGAGCTCAGTGGTTAAGAGCACTGGCTGCTCTTCCAGGAGGTCTGGGTTTGATTCCCAGCACCTACAGGGTAGCTCACAACCATCTGCAACTCCAGTCCTAGAGGATTTGACATCCTCTTCCGGCTTCTGTGGATCCAGGCACACACACGGTACACAGATATACATGCCGGAAAAACACCTATACACATAAAATTAAATGAATAACTTTTAAATTACAAAGAAAACAAATAAATAAATGCATGCTGCTTGGAGGTAGAGTGCGGCCCGGGGCTTAACCTGCAGTAATGGTGTGTGGAGGCTGAGAGCAAACGGGAGGACGAACAACAGGCAAGAGCAAGTTCCCCCGACCTCCTCACTTGCTGAGTCAAGGTGCAGTTCTTCCTCAAGCTGCAAAACTGTCTGGAAACTCAGCTCCTTGAGGTGTGACCCCAGTCTCATCTGCTTCCTTCCCTCCAATAATGTGGCCTCCTTTGTCCCTCTCATTCCAGTGGGAAGCTCTGCTTGCCCAGGGCCCTTTCCAGTCTTTTCCTTGGGTAAGTGAGTTAAGACCCATGATGCTTGACCGCTGCCCTCTTGATTCTTCTCAGCGACCTAACCCTAGTGTCTGTGAGTTAGTTTCCCCTACGGCTGTCTTATGTCACCTTGTATGGTCAAAACAAACAAACAAACAAACAACAAACGAATGAAAACCCCAAGTCCTTATAAAGAACCAGGGAACTCTCATTTCTCAATTTTACCCACTGCTGGAATTCATCCCTATGGAATTCTGATGGGTGATTCATCAGCCCTTAGTTACATACTCCAAGCTTGGGGGTTACTGAGAGATTCCCTCCTGGTTTGCTGTCTGATTTATGCTTCTGCTGTAGGGAGCTGCT